GGGGCCCTGACCCTAGCCTCTGACTCAAAAGTCTGACCCACGGGGCGGTGGGAGAATGTAGGGTTTTGTTCGGGGGCCCTGACCCTAGCCTCTGACTCAAAAGTCTGACCCACGAGGCAGTGGGAGAATGTATGGTTTTCTTTGGGGACCCTACCCGGAGCCGATGACTCAATAATCTGACCTGCTCGGCTGCAGGGGGTTGGCCTAACCCGAGGGCGCAGGGAATAAGGCATTACTGTCTCATTCCTGATGCGGCTGCGCACAGCAGGTGCCTTTTGAGCAGCACCGGGCTCTTTGGCTTTAAAAGCATTTCGACCGTATTGGATAATGCGCCGGCGGTCACGGTCAACCGTTGGGCGATCGGAGTGTGCGGTTTTTGGGGCCGACCTTTCCTAACTCGTCCTTCCTCGGGGGAGGCAGCATCGCTGCTTCCATAAGTATGGACATGCTGGTCGCCTGGGGGAAACACCTTACTGCCTTGACACTCATCCTCATCTCATCCGATCTTGGAGCTACATTTTACCTTTTACATGTATGGAGCTCATACCAAAATGTGCGTCAGAATTAATTAAAATGGTTTGCACTTTTGAAGGATCTGGACCAAAGAGTGCAATACCATCCGCTTACCCAAAGTCAGAGGTCTCGGGGGCATTTCGACCTCCGGGGTTTCAGAGACAGACAGAGAAAATTGAAGCAGTACATGAAGAAATTGAAGAGGAAAGGCGAGAGAGAATAGCTTTATCTTACACTGCTGGACGTGGACTCAGGAGGAAGTTCCCCGTCCACAGGGCTCCGCATACAGTGCTCTCATAAGCGATGTAAATTTAGGAGGAACAATCTCGATAGCCAGATCCTGTAAAATTTTCTGACGATCGGCGGAATCAAAAGCAACCTTCAGATCAAGAAAGATCAAGGTGGAACGTCTGCAATAGTGACGCTGTACAAGAACGTTTTTCATTTTAAAGACACGGTCGGTGAATCCTCGGTTAGGGTGAAACGCAGCTTGATTCTCACGAATCTGTCGATCAACCTGCGCAAAATAATGCCAGGGAGTACCTTAGGTGACACGGCTATCAGGCTGATGCCATAGTGGCTTTCACATGACGTTCTTGTACCTTTTTTGAAGACTGGGATGATGGTTGAGGAGCTCAGGTACACTGTTATTCGGTTTTCTTTCCATCTCTTCGGCACCAGTTTCGTTATATTGTTCACTGAGACCTCACCACCTTCTTTGTAGAATGCGGCGACTGGTAGCCACATGGTCCAATTGAGTCTATGAGTGTCTTGCAGTTGGTGGCCTCCAAGTAACTCAATATGGGCGTTTGTGTTCAAAGTTTGTACTGGCCAGGAACGAACTGAAGCACTCCCCCTTCACTATCCGTATGGTGAGCCTCGACTCCAAATCTACCACATAATTGTGCTTCTTCCGGACTTAACCGTCCAACATATATCACCCGCTAGGATTACTGAATCCGTCCTTATTGCTGACCGAAGCAGTCGCGACAGATCTTGATAAAACCCGTCCTTCTCGTTGTCAGAACTTCAGTCTGTCGGGGCGTATTCTGATACGACAAATGAACGTCAAACCGCATTGATCTTAATTGATCCAGACAACGAGGGGCGAGATGGCCCAAGTGGTTAGGGCGCGAATTTACTGACCGGAAGGTCCGTGGTTCGAACCCGACCTCTGCCTCTCGACTCCCCTGTCTAGGCTTGGGCAACCTAGCAGTATCCCAACTCTCGTGCAACTTTCCGGTGGCATGGCAGTTAGGCACCGAAAGGGTGCTACAACTGAACGATTGTTTAACGATTGAGCCAGACAACCGATCAGCGCAAAAACGACTGTTTACTGGGATGCAATCCAGTAAAGCGCTTTCAGCCCTGGGGTTGAATGCATCTCCTACACCATATATACCACGACCCATTGAGTTAGGATCATCTGATACCCGAAGAGTGAAATATGGGACATCAGAGCCCGTCCTAAGCGTCTTCTGGTGCACGACCGAGGTGAGATCTTGTATGCGTGTTTCAGAGGCACAACATGTATCGACAGAGAGGGAAAGCAATGCCGCAATTTAGACCAGGTCTTTTGGAGCCAGTAAGTGGTCTTTTTATTTTTTTGGGCGATGGCTTTGGTTCAGAACAATGGTTAGTGGGCTGGCAGATTAATTTATTGGACTGCATCATTCGATGGGTGGGGAGGCGTGGGGGAGGGCCAGTGAACAAAGAGCTCCAAGGGAGAATGATACTTCGCGGTTGCCCAAGCCGGAGGTGTGGTTTGATTCGGTTTGAATTGAAAGCCCGTTTCACTTTCACTGTCTTCATTTTTCAATGGTATTTTTTATTTCGATGAGCAACTTACCCTGATATCCGTCTTTAGTTGGGGGGGGGGTTCGGAGTACGGTTGGCAAATTCATGTTTCTGGAGTAAGCATGGGGGTGGAGGGCTCTTCTGAAGTCCACATTATGCCTCAAGAGTCAGTCGTACGATTGTTAGTATTAGGCCAAAACTGAATCACACAACGATTCGAGCAGTAAAACCTTATCTTCAAAACTTGTCAGCATTCCTTGTAGCTGCTGGTTTTGGTCGCTTGTCTTTCGGTTTCATTTGCGTAAAATCTGCACATCAGTGCTCATCATTCTGTTCTTTTTGTGTTAATTTTGCTCTGCCCTTTTCCTTCTGGCCCCGCGTTAGTTTTACCAAAACGTATAGAAAAATGGAATAGCTAATCATCTTACTGAGCACCCCAGTGCTAGAGCAGTGGGATTCATCATAAACACGAGCATACTTTCATGATCAAGAATGAAAAGCACTTGCCTTTACTGAGTCATTCTAGTGAAAATTAACCGTTAAGAACTTTCCGGTAGCCGCGAGGCGTTCCGATTGTCAATTTCGTCCTTATCAAGGATTAGTTCCTTGCAATGTAGTCACTAGAATTTTCACCATGGAAAGTAGTTTGATTTTAGCAAGCTCAGTGAAGTTCAATTTGCCTGTCTGTCCTTTTTATTTTTAGCTGTTCTGTGATACAGCGTGATACAATGCAACTTGATCTTAATTCCAGTCTGGATGAAGTCATCCTGGCAATTCAGAATTGGAAAAGCAATGACTTCCTTGGATTTGCTCCATGCTTACACAAGTTGTCATGTCCACAAGCTCATCCGGCCGACAAACAGTGTTTCCTTCTTGAGGTGCTTTGCACACAGGTCAAACTACTGCCACCAACTATGGTCTCAGAACTTTTGCAAACGGTTTCGGACCCTGCCGTTTGGATTTACTGTGATCCATCTCTGAGCTCAGCTATGATTAATTTCCTAACTGAGTTGGCCGTGAATTTCACCGCTTTACTGTCGGATGTGTGTGATATCTGCGTTCAGTTGATATTAATGAAACCCATCGTTTCCAATCCAAAGCAATGTCGCATCCAGGCTCCGATTTGTTCAACGGTTGCCTTATCCTTCACAGCCTCATTGCTATCCATCGTACCACAGTCGGAAGCTACACTAACTGATCGTATCATTAGCAAATTCCCCGGTTGGAGAAAACCCTTGTCGGAACTGACTCTCGCTGCGTCCAACGTTCTCTGTTTAATTGGTCCTCAGTCTGCCTCTCGGTGGCTTTCGATTCCAAATATCTGTTCTCTACTCGGTACTATATTTAAGCTTATAGTTGATTTGGAACTCAGCCCAGATCATTCCTCGCACACGGTGCCCGAACAGCTTTCTCTCTCTTGTGAACCAGAAAACCTGTGTCCGTCTGCGCTACAGAATCGTGTTTACGAGATAGTAGAACAAATTACCGCGAAAGAAGGAACTTCCGTATCCAAGCTGGAGGTATTGACATGGATAGTTATGACCCAACTGCGCACAGTTTGCACCAGAGCCGCACCGAATTCCTCGGATACGAACAGTTTGGATTGGTCTGTATTGTGCTCCGTGTTCAAACGAATGAGGTCTTTATTCGCACAATTTGTGTTGCCAGTGAACATCCGGATTGAAGCATTTCCACTTCTCTGCCTTTATACAGCCAGTCTCCGTGGTGGTCTAATGATCAACTGGACAGAGTTTCTTTGGAACACAATCAAGGATGATCAACAGGATTGTGGTACTCGTGTGACAGCAGTAGCATATTTGGCTTTCCTTTTGTCCCGCGTCCGCACATGTCCTTCTGACCTGGTGATTGAATTACTCCATGATATGACCCGTTGGTGCGTTGACTATGTGTACCGACACCGTGGTCTGATCATGATGACGAATGAGGCCGAATTACTGGTGACAGAACACCGGCTGTATTACGCCGTGTGTCACGCAATATTTTACATTATTGTCCAACTTCATGCAACACTTTTGGACAGTGAGTATTATCGTGCTAGTTGTGAAACTTTGCCCCTAGCACAAATCATGCTATCCCCGCTAAATCCTCTGGAAAATACGCCTACGGATTTGCGTTGGGCTTTTGAACGGATCATTCATACGTATCACCTCAGCTGTGCTTCAAGTCCTGTTTTCTCTATCGTAGACCGGGCTTGCGGGGACGTTTTGCCCACCACTTTTGATACTTGTTTGCTTACAGATGTTCGACCTAGTCACCTATTCTCTTTGCCATTTCAGTTGAAACTTTGCCTAATAAAACCATTTGTACAACATCTATTTCGGGATTTCGTCCTTGGTAAACGTTTCTCTGCCTCTACCGACGCCTCCTCAAAAACAAACACTGGACGGAAATTGAAGCGAAAGCGTCAACGCAAACACTGGACGGAAAGTGAAGCGAAAGCGTCAACCGTATCAAGGAGTTGATGTGCGAAAGCTTGCTCGGATAGTAGGTGGTAAATTTTAACACAGATTCTTCATTTTGTACAGTGTCGCGTGAGTATATAAAGCGATTCCCAGTCTTGCTTCTTATTTTATCGTGAGTCCGTTCAGTACCTTCGGCGTAGACCAGTGTTTCTGGCAAATGTCTGCTCGGGATTTTTCCCCTTCTATACCTCACAGAATTGGCTTTTCAAATGCATTGTGTGTGACCATAGGCCGGGGAACATCATATAGTTTTAGCATTACATATTCCAGATAAAGATCCATACTGGTTCACGCGTGCTTCAAACGTCTGGTTCTCACTATACACTGATGAAAGGATGGAACTGAATTATGAGCACTTGTGCTGTGGTTTGAAAATAAAACAAGGCTGTATAAAGGACGTAGGCTAGTAAACATGACGGTTACGTAGTCAACCCGTTTCCGCATCATAAACAGGGCCACCAGTTCATAATCACCTATATTCCCTAACGAACTAAAAAACAGCAGCCACTGACGCGTCCGTTGCGTGGAGTTATATTTGTGAGAAACTAATTGGATTGGTCACCGGTGTTCGACTGTTCCTTTCCATTCATCCTCTGTAATCGAAATTTTGACTAGTGGCATCAGTATTTTAGGAGCGCTTTGGGCTAAGAAAAGGGTTGAAGTAGTTTTGGGGCGGCTGAGAAATGTTTGGAGAGGGTTTGAGTCATTGACCAAGAATTCATGAAATCGAATTCAGTTGCCTGTCTCCCGGGCCGAGGTACGTGGCAGTATCTCACCCCAACGTTGATGGCTGTTGTGCACCGAAATCGTCACAGTTGAATGGTCTGTTACTTCTGCGAATTAATATCTGTCTTACGCGTTTTTTATTATCGGGTAGAACAAAAACCATACAAGTGTACATGGTAACGGTTTCTGTGTGTTTCCAGGCCTTGAGAATAAGGTATTTTCCTCAAGAGAGACCTATTTAAAGAAGCAGTCCTGTCTCTTTTTGTATCCACAACCGCACCGTGTCAGACATGGCTTAGTGCACGATTCACTCGAACGATGGCCGCTCCCAATCGTGAGCCAGATAATCCCATCCTTGTGGTGGTCTCATTTTAAGTTTGTCGTGCCAAAGGTTTCGTGGAATGAGGATCACTGTTTCTGAACTGCATAGGTCCTAAAGATAACCACTTGGGGCACCATTCTCCCGTTTCGCCCCGTCTAGGCTTACTACTCAGTTGGAACTGAGTAGTGTTTGGAAATGTCTCGTGTTTGGTCAGTGGAAAACATGGTCACTTTTGGAAAACTGCTTTAGGCACGTCAACCTGTGTGTGCTCAGTGGGACGTAGTACCTCATAACGTCTCTGTTTTTGAGACAAGAACGACACGGGACTTTTGTGATTAAGAGGTTCCTAATGTGGATGTTATAGTCTAGAGGTTCATCTGAGTCATAAGTTCGTACGATGGTACTTGAAAAGCATCCAGAGTAGTCTAGCTGGTAGGAATGCCGTAACCNTGATAATCAGAAAACCTCGAAAGTATGTCTACGACATTGTGGACCTTCAGACTGCAGAACGACTTCTGCAGGGGGGTTTATGTGCTGTATGTTGTTCATCGGATGTCCACGGCGACGCCTTTTGGTGTCCTTTAAATGGAGCTCAAGAGGAGATATCTTCCTCGTCCATGTTATAAACATCGGAAGTTAACCCTCATGCAGCAATAATGGGTTACTGTTGTGCCTTGCTGAACGGTAGTGCAAGTGCAACTCTGTATCGGTCCCTAGGCCCATTACGGTATATCAAAAGATACGGTAGCTCTACACAGTCCTTTATGGAGACCAAGGAAAATTATTACAACTGTATTTATAGGGTATTCACAGTGTTCCACAAGGTCGTGCCAGAATCTCCGTGAGGGGGCGAGAAGCGTCGAGTCAAAGGTGCTTGACTCGGATTGGCTGACATTCTGATCAATCAGGGCCTGCGTTCGTTTGGCCCGTGTCCTGCACGTGACACATCCGTCCAAATGATGTGTACGGTTATAAGGGACAGCTGGCCTCCGTACAGTTACATCCACCTCTCCCGAGAAAACATCTAGGGTTCCTCATTTGTTTGGTCTACTCCCCAACGGTTAGCAGAAAGAATTTCATGAGGCTGACGTTGCTGTTAACCAAATTTATCGATTGATCGTCGTTCCTTACGGTTGATGTTATCAGTGCTGCGGGCTGTTCTCAACGGACCGGATTGGCCATCACAGAGACTTATGATAACCAGCCAACCTGGATTGGCTTGGCTATTTAGCATATTTAGGATAGCAAGCAGCAACATTCGTCCGGTCATATCGAAATAGGAATGCGGATTTCGAGCCTAAAACGTAGAATGCGGCAACGCATAACAATTCCATATTATCGAACTCCTGATCGCAATCATTACTTTCACGGATGTAGAAGCATAATGCGTGACCAATGTCTTCGCATCCGCTTCTCAAGTTCCGCTAGGTGAGAACTACTAGTTTCCGTTTAGTCAGATGGTGGGCTGACACCCATTGCATATTGGTTCGCTGTGTTGATCAAAGATGAGCGAGGGTATCAAATATCTAGGGCATTCACCTCAGGATAGACGAGGTGTTCTGCTCCATGTGGAAAAAACTACATCAAAAGTTCGTATGCGAGTAAAATCTCAAAACTCAAATGGAGAAAGTGTGCGGTGCGTTTGTCGATAATCGTTGCGCAGGGATCATCTCTGATGAAATGTTTCGGGGCCCCTGGAAGGTGTTTCCTCAAGAGGAAAGGGACTGGATACGGTTCAGGCACAAGAACGTGTTCGACTCCATTCCCGTTCTTAGTACTGCTCAATAACAATGCTCTGCCCTGATTCGTGGAATAGGCCCACGTCGGATATTCCGGAACACTGGCCCTCAGCACTGACAGGACCTGTAGTCATATTGATATGCTGAAGTAAATCAGCACGGGTAAAATTTTCAGACGGACGTGCATAGTACTTTGGGGATGCTGGTGATGGAAGTTGGCTCTTCAGTTGTTTTCGTCGGGGTCCTCAGCTTTGCTATTTGCTGATAGCGTTATATTCCTTCGATAGAAACGATTGAAAGTAGCCCAACTTGATGTACAACCTTGCCTTTCAGGACTGACAGCTGTTCTAATCTGGACCCATACACGAACAAATTGTTGGAGTTGTGCTCTAGACTTTCGGCGAGTGGTGTTGTCAAAGAACTCTGGATCAGTTCCGCTGATGTCACCCCAATTCGACTTAGTATTTTATTCTAATACTACCCGAAGGCACCTCATTCTTGGCCGTTTTACTTCAGGACATCGAACTTTTTCGCTCAAAATCCCTATCTTCCCGTTCACGCATTCTTTGCTAAGCTTCTCTCATGGCCGCATGGCAGTTGATCGTCAGTGTGTTTTATTGGTCCATTCCTGTCAGTGATTTTTGTATTGTTCATATTCATATCAATCTCGTTTGAACAGTCGTCCACCTTTCCTGGTGTAATTATTCTGGTGAGTCCACGCCAAAGGAGGGATAAGCATTGGATTCGAGTTTCGCTGTTATTAGAGTTCACCGACAGTGCGTATCCAATGGCCATGCCAGGGGGTTGAACGCCGGACATCTGACGTACGTTGCGAGCCTCCACCAACGCACGTTGGGCAAATCTAAATTTTTACGTCTGAACATGTGGACGTGTTCACGTTTGAGCGATGTGATTTGTGTGCCCGATTCATGATCGAAAGACGACCCAGAAACTGTCCCGGTTGTGACGATCGATCGACACGCCTGTTAGGACTTCCAAGTCAAGTAGCGAAAAATGCCTCAAAAGTACAGCTCAAGGAGTGCACCCCCTCCAGAGACCACCTCCTAGAGGGCAATTTTGCCAGTTTCAGAGGGTGTGCGCACTTCCAGGAGAGTACTGTACACCTATTTCCAAGCTATTTTGAACCAAATGTTCGCCCAAGAAACTACACAGCTTCAAATAAAAAGTATCTGTATTTTATCCAGAGATCCAGTCTTTGTACAAGAATACTGTATACAATGGGGTCGGAAGTCGGGTCTACCGACCGAAAGAAGCCTCCAGTTCAAACCACTGACGTAAAGCATCCGAGAGAAGTTGTGGTAGGGCGGTCACATCTCGTAGCACCAGGTAGAATGGCAGAGGGAAAGTGTCCATATATGGCACCAATTTTCCACTGGACGTGTAGCGTCTCAGGTCAAAAATGGAATGCTATTGAAGAAACAAAGGATTAATGCGTGGTTAGTAATTGCTTGGTTCATAAAAGGTCATGCACGTCCAAGAGACTCCGGTTATACTGTGAAATGTCATTAACGTACAGTTGGATAACTCACCTTTTTGCGTACATCGTCCAATATCAGACAAACAGGAAAGAGCCGGGAATCCCTGGCCAACCTGACCGCAGCCTGAACCCTCGAGTCCTGAGGATCTTCTGAGAATACTCCATCCGACAGAATTAGGAGCAACTGACTTGGCATGGATCCAGTTGTTGTGGGCAAGTTGCACATTTGCATCGCTTTTATGGCGCTTTGTAATAACTACAAGATATGACCGAATATGATGAGTAGCGCTCACGGGGCATCGGAAATTGCAAAACGGCATGACTAAGGAAAAGTGATTTTAATTAGCGAGGGGCAAGAGTAACGGATTTGAAAGTAGCACACGAGTTGTAATTCGACATCTCGAATACCGAATAGCCATTTAGCAGTTTCCAAACAGTAAAATTTTCCGACTGGTTTCATTGCATGGTGAGAACTAGGATATCAATTCGGTCGAACTTTGCTCACCTGTATCAGGGAAGTGCGGGATTGTTTAAAGGTAAACTGAGCAAGAACATTGGCACCAGCGTCTCCTACCCATGTGTCTTGCAAGTCGTGGAGTATGCGAACAGATTCCCCAAAGCTGCAAAAAGAGAAGAGAGTAATGAGCTTTCGAAGACATCGATATACGACAGTACAGTATGAAAATACCCAGCGCATTCAGCTGATTATTATGAAACTGGATTAGTAGTTTCATCCTGTAAATGAAGCTAATCTGTGCTGAAAAGCCGAGAAGCCCTGTACAGTCGTTCCATCCTTATGGGAGTCATCAGCAGTGCGCACCCCAAGAAAATCCAGGGAGTACTGGACACACGAACTCCCGGCTAGTAGTTTGAACAGTTAACCGTTCGGCCACGATCGGTCAATCAATATTGTGGTTAACTCAGGCTTAGACAGGATGTGCCGTTAGTCATCCTGCAATCCACGTCGAGTCAATCACATTGCTGATCAGCTCGTGGCCGAACGTTCAAACTACAAGTCGTGAGGCCACCGGTTCGGGACTCCCTGGAGTTTCACCAGATGAGCACTGTTGATGATTCCCAATTAAAATGAAACAGGTGTACGGCGCCTCTCGGCTTTCTAGTGTAGATTGACCTCGCTTACAGGACAAAATCTCCATTAAAATTCCCAGATATCTTCATACTAGCAACAGCAAAACTGGAAATTCAGCTAATATTCAATTGATTCTCCCGTTAATTTACAAACGGGGCTCTACCTCCGGTTGCAAACTGTATTTGCAAAGAGACAAATTTCAGTTAGTGTTGGGAGAACCGCCGAAAACACTGCCCTTTAACCAAAGGCAGTCCCTACCAGAAAAGTCTGAATATCCACTTTCTTTGTGGTCCTTTTTCTTAATGTATGAAAGTGCAATTTTGAGATATTCGGTGCTATTTGCTTGGGGAAAGCAAGATAAACATTTGTTTAAAGTGTTCCTGCAGTTTCGCGTGATGAATCCAACAGTGACAGCAAAACTACTTTATTTTTTGTATTCATGGCATGAAACGTTGTTTCTTTACCTGCAAACTCCGATTCGGCCAACTTCCAGCAGATTGAGAGCCGTAACAACCGTAGCCAACGAATCGAACGTCATCTGAAAGCCAAGGAAGTGATAGTGCATGTTAGCGGGAGAGGACCATCCTGGCAAAAACTCTGTTTGGATGTGGTCTAAGGGGTTAACAAACACAGAATCCTGAAAGAAATTATCGCTCTTTCTCAAAACTATATTGATATGGTCTCGACACAAGCTACACGATTCTGTTGATCACTCTCCAGAAGAAAAAAATAAATCGTTCAGCTGTAACACCCTTTCGTGCCCAGCTGCCATGCTACCCGAAGGAAACACGAAGGCTGATATACTGTTAGGCTGCTCAAGCCTAGACAAGCGAAGTCGAGATGCAGATGTCGGGGTCGAACTTCGGACCTTCTGGTCAGTAAATCCGCGCCGCAGCCACTGAGCCATGCGGCACATTCTGAAGCATGACTTTGCACTTTGAAGGTGCAATGCGCATGCCAAAAGGTGGTATGATGGTGGTCAGTTTATTCAACAGGCTTGTTTTGGTCTTCAAATATTAGGGCGATGTTATCTACGTAGTCCAAATCGACAAGGCTCTCACCAGCAGCAATTTGAACACCAGGGTTATGAAGCCCGTCCAGTGTTCGCCTCATTATTTAATCAATGATGAAGTTGAGAGAGTGGACATCCTTGTCTGATACCACTTTTTTAGGGAAGCTTTGGAGAGATGACGATGCTCTCTCACCCGCCCAGAAGTATGTGACTATAGGGATCGGATTATGTTTACAAACTTCTGGGGCATACCCTGTTGAGCAAGTGTGGTTAACAGCACCCTTGAAGTCAAGGAATACCGGGATTGTGGTGGTTATTTTGCAGCTTTTTTATGACATGTACGATAAACTCACCAGGTTGAAAAGACTATGTTATACAGGGGCTGCCAAAGAGTTAGGGTGCTAAAAAGTCCAGTGTTCAAATCCACCTTAGAACGCTCGATTCGTGCTAGTTAGGATTAGACAATCCGGCACTTAAACCTGATTAAGGAGTTGAATGGAAACTGTACGGAGGAAGGAGAAGAAACCATGTGCTTGAGCACAGAGACTGGACGAGGTCTAGCCCCTTACATGTGATTCGATACAACACAAAAACGGAAAACCAATGGTTTTATCGTTATCGAAGGCAGGTGCAGTCACGGACGAATAGTCGCTGGCATGGGAAAGACCGGGCAAATTTAAAACCGTAGGAATTCATTCCATTGTCCAATTACGCTATGAGAAGTGCTCATGAAGCAAATCTACAGACAGAGGGATGGATGAGAAGTACCGCAATGGTAAAATAGAATCTAGGTCACTTTTGTTCATAATGGTCTTAGGTATACGTAAGTTGTGATCTACGAAAAACTGTTCAACTTGTTCATCTTTCTCTTTACTCACCTGACGACAGAGGTTATCAGACATCGAGGAAGAATCGTCAACCGCTATGAGAATCCGATATTCGCGTTGGCTTGGTTGGGAACGACGTAGCCATATCTTGTCTTTCCGGAAATGACTCGCCAAATATGGTATGATCTGGAAGGGGTTCGAAAAATTGTTGATGAGCGTTAAGGGAAATCGGTGTTTTCCATAAGGAACACCCACTCTGGTTCAAACCCCGAGAAACTGTCTAATAAGGTATCAAAGCAAATGCCAATGGCCTTCGCAGCTGCTCCCTGCAGCATGTTAAAATACATGGTAGTTTGGGGCAATTTTCGGTGACAGAATTATTACAGTACTATTTATAGAGTAACCATACATCAGACGAGAAGCGCCGAGTCCAGAAGGCCCGATTCTGACTGACCCATGTTCGGACCGGGGTAAGCTTTCTGGTCCGTGGCCAGCTCGAAATACATTCGTCCAATCGGCGTGATGATCGGCTGTTCGGACCGACCAGCTTCCGAGCAACAGTCCAGATAAGTTATTCAGTTACGTAGAAATTACCACAGTTTCTTCCAGTTACTGTTGAACTGGTTTCGGAAAGAGGTATTTCCTCAAATGAAGCGTTTTCGTCTGAGCACATGAATCTTTACTCAAAGATAGCTGTCCTCTTTTACTTATGCGCCCAACGATCAACAGTGTATGCATCCGTATCATTTTGAATACTGTGGCCTGGTTCGCTAAAACACACTACTATTTTTTCTTTTCCTCGGATGTCGAACTTCACGTGAAGAGGCCACCAGTAAGAGCACCCTGCTGTAATTTCACTGTGCCCAAATGACGGGGTGCGTCGACCTCAAACTGTCTATCAGTTGTCAAGTATTGACAGTTTTGGATGAATAGAACTCGGCACACTTCACTCCACGAGGAGATGAATTGAGGCCTAGGTCAAAGATGAAACTTTCCACACTCACAAGGTGGCAGATTTGTTAATGTTCCGTGTTGTGCTTGGAATGTGGACGTGTACCGTTGGATCACTTACGGAATATGTTTGTTACGGGACTCAGATAAGAGTGAGAAAAAGTGAATTGCAAAAGTTTCTACCTCAGTGTTTCCGAGGTGGATGCCTATTACGAGATAATGCAGTTGGTGAAACTTAAAAAGTGGGGAGTCTCGAAACTGTCTCGTCATTCGGACAGATTACTTATAAAGAGTAATGTACTGAACTGGAAATATGGTTGAGAAGGGGGGAAAGTTAAAGCTTATTTTGGGAAGAATAAATGAATGGCGCTCGAATACCGCAGCAGGAGCAGTTGTAGTTAAACACAGGGACAGATACTCGCTTTCAGCTAACAAGTGCAATTTACCTTGCGCATATTGATCCGTTTACCGGTGCGATAATCCCCACGCATGCGGGCCGCTTTGGTCGGTTCAAGCACTAAACGAAGTGATTCGCAAAGTTGTCGTGCCAACCCAGCTGATCGAGCTGAACACGCGGACCATTCGAAAAAGGCCTTCTTGGCTTCCTCTGTCGAGACGGAATGAAGGTCTGCGCGTTCGACCGCCAAACCGACATCAAACATGTGCGACCCAGCGGTGGATTGAACGAGAGCTTCAGGCTACAACAAAAAAAGGCCGTGTCTTGAACCGAGACGTTTAGCTTGCTGGGTTAACAACGAGATCAATGTAGAATGATGAGTTAAAAACGGATACGGGCTGGAACAAGCCGGGTACTTACACGAGTACATATAAACGAATCCGGAGGTCTTTGAGCCCCGAGGGTAGCAACAATTCTCGCGTCTGGGTCAGACTCCACGACATCTTCTCCAGCAAGATCGCCTTTAGAAGACTTTCCAGAAAGGCGCTGCTGAAGAGGTAGGCCGGACGAGAGTGGCTGCTCCTTTAAAACAAAATGCGCGAATGGACGATTACATGGATATGTTCAAAACATTTTCCATACATTTATACCATTGGAAAGTTTTCGCATTGAGTTGATTGAAAAGAAATCGAAAAACAACTGATTGTTAGGGATGATACTTCGAGCACCGCTATCGGTCTAAAAAGACATCGCTCATTTTTTCACCTAAGCAGCGATTTCGTTAGGATATTCAGGAAATCACTTAACATCAAAGTCTGGTCGCAACTTGCCACTTGATCAGTGGGACCCAGCTAACGTGAGTTCAACAGAACGAGCTGAGTCGACTTCACCACGGCAAATACCAAAAACTAAATTGTTTGATATCTGTGGTACAGTTGTTTTTGTTCAGTGCGGAGTATCTCTTATTGTCGTAACGATAGTATCCCTTGTTGCAAAAAGTTATTTCGCTCCCACAAAAAAGTCAAATCACAACCATAAGGTAGGTGAATTTTTCTATCAATAATGCGACTAAAGGACAATGAAATAATTCCCAAGAAAAACTTCGAGAATAATCTCGCTACTTTGAAAAGGCTGCACTGTGAAGCTATGCAGAGTGAAAACGAAGACGGAGAACGGTGGAAAGTAGACTATCATCATGACGTTGTTTGGGTGTGAGCTTTACTCAAGGATGCACACAGCCGCGCAGCATGAAACTGAGCTCACTGGTGTCAGAAAGAATACAAGAAATAAGAGGCCATAGGTGTCATTTGGCGAGTAAGTAGAACAGGACGCTCGAAATTCGGCCGGTAGCAACTAATTCCTGCTCATCTTTAGTCATGATGGAATGTGAACGACTGGTCATCTGGCAGCAAAGACGCCCACGAAGACGGAAAATATGCACTGCTCCCAGTTCAATGCTTTCTCCATGGTGTAGACCAACCGCAGAAAGCGGGCTGCACAAATGTAAAGTGGGATTCATAAAAATGTTCCGGCAGATGGATGACTCATTCCTAAAAAATAGCCACCAGGGCTGTCAACGGACAGTGAAGCGATAAAAACAACAATAACCTACTTCCGGAACATCTGTGGGGATGAGATTCGGTGGCACCTCCCTTGTTTCTTCATCATTTTCTAGCCCAACATCTGTGTCCGCCTGCTCCGGTTTCTGTTCCGATCGTGTTTGCTGTTTTCTTTGACTTTCTGTAGCTGAATCAAACGCTCTTATTCCAGAATCATTTCCGGTATCCATTGTGTCTTCTTCCATGTGCTCATACAAATCAGCATCCGTGAGCCCCTCTTGGTCGATTTCAGGAGAGCGGACTTGTCCTGATTTGGCCGGATCTAATATTTCTTTCTGAAAGGAGTACAGGCAGTGAAAATAACTTGAAGTAACTGGGACACTGACCAACACCCACAGTTCTTGAGTACAGTAAGATGACGTGGAATAACTGGTTAACGTACATGTCCAGAGGAGCAAAGAATATGGGTCGGTGTCGCATGTGGCCCCTATTGCACAGCGACAGTTACGTGGAAGCATTGGTCAGTTATAATGACCACCAGATGGCGAAACAATAGTTTCACAAGGATGCTGTTCTATCTGAACTATGAGTTGGACCCTGGAATCTTGAAAAGCGTTACATCCAGTAGTCCTAGAACCGGGCCACACTAAGAATACACATCTCCTTTATGCATGTTCGTGAAATCAGGGAGAAAGATGGAGGTTATTTAATTGGTAGTCCGTTAGTTGTTCTATTGATCATTGGACACTGACGGGTGTGCGGTAAAACCATTCTCAGACAAATGAAATTAAAAAAAACTAAGATGAGTATATGGACAATCGAAATTCGGGATTTCAAGCGGTTGGGGAACGGGGAACAGCAGGTGAAATGACCAAGTTAGCACTTTGCCAACATCAAAGTCTGATGAAACCAGTACATAAGGTCCGTATAATCACTGTATGACTGTGTGCCTCTTCGAACATCCTGACAGCTATGTTGGCCACGAAAAGCCCAGAGAGGAGAAGGACAAAGCTCGACGAACAACAAATTGGAACGGGAGATTTCGAGTTCATGAATCACCAATATGAAATAGCGGTACTACTGCACACAGTTAATAAACACAGTGTCACGTGCGAGAGAAATGAAAAGCGGTGAGAAGCGTAGCGTAATGGGCGGTCTAGCAGTGCTAAAAACTCAATTTTCAAATCCGGCTCCACAGGCGTTGGTGAGATCTAGGAGGATTTAGACAGCTTTATCATATCAGTTTTACGCGGAGTTCAAGATGGTTTAGTGGTTAAGGCGCCAGCTAACCGACCGGTTGGAACTCAGCATCTCGACTGCTCCTATCTGATATTCCAGCCCAGGTGCCTTCTTCCATTGGCAAAGCAGCTACGCACCGAAAGAGTGCTACAGGTGGACGATTTTCTAACGCTGGCTAGTAAAAGAAGGGACTTTCATGAAAACCAGTAGAGTTTTGGCTAAATTACGCTATATACCACAGCTGGTAAATCGATTCGGAGCTTGGACGTTAATGCAGACCTTGTGGCTCCAGTTCGGAACTCGTGAACCCCGCAATGCTCCAGCAAGGAATCGATCACACAATAAGTACCAGGTTCTTAGGAGGCGTTAGTTCGGCTCTGCAAAATACATTGGGAGTGGAAAATACGTAACACGGTCAAAAGGTCCCCGTTCTGTTCATACCACAAAGCGAACAGCTTAGGTCACCATGCATTCTATTGAAGTACATCAGTAAAGTATACCCTCGGGTGGAGAAAACGGTTTGTGCACAAATCCCACAACAACAGAAACCACAAAAAGAATCTGAGATAACTATTGGACAAGTTTTGACGGTCCAGGAAGCTACGTGACCTAAAACACAGATCAACCGATCGACGCAACCAGAAAAGTCACTCAACCATTGCATGAGATGTCCAGTAAAACAAGTGTGTTGCTAAGGCTGCAAACAAGCTCGCCTATCGGGGATAACAATTTAGGTCCCTCTAATGTGCGTTGGTTTAGTAGCGGCCTCCTATATAGGCTCTCCAAGATTCGAAAACCAAAATGGTCAAATATTTGCACAGCTGATGAACTGTAAAAAGAGCGAAATTCGATTCGGGTGCTCCTCCCTTTGGTGTGGACAATGTGGCATGATCTTGCCAGGACAGAAGGCCCTTTCGAATGGTAGCTGTTCAACAAATGGAACCTAGTATATTCGCAACAGAAGAAGAGATATGAATCTCGGTCACGCACGTTTATCGGAGTTTCTGTAGAATTCGATGTGTTTAGGGCTCAAAATGACAGGAGATTAGACCTTTTAAAAACAAAGACATAAAAGGAGTCCAACAATCCGGCGTGCAACGGACATAAATGTTCAACACAGGTACTGACCTTCTTCATTGCGTCCGTAGCACTTGGATCCTGTGATCGATTTTCAGACACAGGCTTCAGTCCGCTCCGCCTTTTCGGTGCAATACCCTCGGTTTTCGCAGCCGGAGCTGATCTATCCTTCGCATCTATCTGATCAGGGGCGAGGTCACCGAACTGACCAGTACCAACTCGCTGTCCTCCTCTACTTCCGGTTGACTGTTCTGTTTGTTCCGGTAGCTGATGAACTGAATCTTGTTCACGATCGTGTTCCGTTGGCTGAGAATTAACAAGGAGACAACATTAAAGTAGCGAATGCGACTAGAGATTCAACAAATGAGAAGTATATTTCCAAGAAATCTATATATTACTGTCTTTATTCAGCAAGGGTGAAGATACCCACCAACAGCAACATCTATAATCGACGGGGTCGTACAAGATTCTCATTCATTCAATTCAGCAGAAATGGATTGCTGGTTTTTGCACGATCATCAAACAATACCTCAAAAGGCTCCAGTAAAAATACCCGTCCAGGTGTAACAGAAATGAGAGAGGTAGATTTTAGGGTTTGTCCTCGTGAGTTAGTTTCCGTGACCAATTCAGAGAGATGATCAGTGACTCGGCCTAAGGCCATTCTTATGCGTCACACTACGTTGGATCTGGTGTGTGTAGCAGAAACGCTGCTTATGGAAAACACGTAGAATAGGGCGCGTTCTGGCACACATGATTTTTCACAGACAATGGTCACCATTCATGAGCGCTGATCAAGAGTGGTTCAGTATGAAAGACTTTACTCGACCAGTCTGTACACGCCGAAAATCCTCAAACTTACTCTTGTATCCTCGCTCACAGGAGCGCCATCCAAACCGGCCGTCTGTAAGAAATGCAAATACAGAGTCCCACGCTGAGTGTTTTTTGGAGTAAAACTAACCAACTGATTACAGTCAATGATAACTCAACAGAGGACATAACTCTATTGAATAGGATTTTAGAAAGACATAGAATGCAACCAAACAGCTGTGCTAACAAAACGACCGAACACAAATACGGACTATCGGAGCCGAATCACGTGCATTGGCAACTGATCAAACGGTAATAAGTTGTGATCCTGATACGACCAGCAATGAAAAACAGTGCTGTAGTATAAATTTGGAAACGATTACATCCGTGACTGTTCCGAACTCGACAAGGCCTGGTCGTCCATTCGTTTCAGGGCTATTTCACTGACCACACGCTTGTCCACGGTTTCCATAAACAAGCAGTACTACCCACTGAGTATTCACAGAGTAGACGGATTCCCAGAAAACTTACGCCGACTTGCGAACGTAAGAGCAGACGCTCAGTGGAACACCACCAACAAAGGCGGACAACTAACGTGGGGAAAAATAAGCGGTTTAACCCAAAAGATCTGGCTAGTCTTCAATTTCGTGGTTAGTTCATAACAACACGGGAGACGTTCACTAGCTGACATAAGCCAATCCCACGACGAACACACAGGTAGAGGGACTTACAGCCTTGTCCTGGCCCAAATCTCCCGAGGCTGGATTATATTGAAAGTCTTCCATCTTTGGATCTTGCAATTCGGTCTGATCCTCGGCACCTAGACAAACAAATCAACACATTAGACAAAACTAAATGTCAACTTAACCGAAGGTCGTAGAATAAAACTGCACTCAAAAATCGGGCTTCAAATGGAGAACGGTTGGGAGTGTGTTAGTAGTTGAAAAGATAACAATTAAAGCCCTTTCATGTGGGTTCGACGTAGAGGACAAATTCAGTTCAGGTATTTTTCAAACACGAACTATAGGAGTGTACCTTGGCTCGAGTTACCGTGGGGTTTGGATGTCAACAATTCATGGCTATGAAGGGGGCCAAACACCTGGAAAGTAGGAGGTTTGGTTGTGTAGAAGATTGAGTGTCTACGGCGACGCTATTGACCGCTACCTTAGTCTATCAGTAGGATAATAGAACAACTGGTGTTTCTTGCACTCAAAACTAGAGAGGGCATATAGTAGTAGGATGGAAACCGGTTGCTTAATTTTCCGAACTGAAGCCTGTGGGCTTCAGCAAGCACGATGCAACCACGTGACACGTTAGCTTGATCAGGTGCTACTCGCAAGTTCCATTAGTAGTATACGCCAGCAGCGCGAATACTGCAGGTCCTTTAACGTCAGTACTGTACCTTTATCATGATTTACGCAATATGCACCATGCTGGCTCTTTATACCTATTCGTGACTCGACTGGACGGAGTAAAGTAAGCAAAGGTGCATCGATCGCGGCCGAGTAACATTTTTCATCCTAAGAGATCTCGTGACCTAACTACTATCTGCTCATAATGATATTAACCCTTATAAATGAACGATCCGCACAAAAGGCATTCAGGGATTGAGACAAGAAAAGCAGGATTAGTGAAAATCAACCACTAACCTTGATCAAGGGGCATGATTTGGTCCTCGTAACCGGGGTCAACTTCATCCTGCCCGCTCTCCTCTTCCGGTTTACCGGAATCCGCATTAGCTGAAACAGACAAGCGGTGGATAGTGAGTGTTACTGCTGAAGCCAGACCAGAGGTTGGAATAACAACGGCACCTACAATGCATAAACATGTCCCATACTTTTGTCAAATCATGCTCATCGGTTTGATGCGTCCTTCAATAAAACACAAAGATATTGTCTTGAATGAAGTTAGAATCAGGGTGCAAAGTATTTTCAAGTCGACCATTTGGACAATCATTATTTCGGGAGTGACCTAACACTATCTCAAACATATGGTCTACTGCGCACTGAATTGTGGTCATGTTGAAGGAAAATGGGTAGAAGAACCCGTGTACTGTTCCAGGGACTATGGAATTTCACACGAGACGATGAGTGAATTCCTAACAATAATGAAGAGACAACAAGAAAACTTACCAGCCTCTTCCGAAGGCGAATTCATGGCTTCGTCGGGAAGATCGTCCGGAAGATCTTCTGTCTGATTGCCTGTTGACTCCTCTTCGTCTTCCAACCTTTTGGCCTCAAGCGCGGCTAATGAATCGTCTTCCTTTCGAGCCTGATCACCATCGGTTGAATGGTCTTGTTCGGACTCAGCATCTGGTGTCAATTCCTGTTCATTGTTTGGGGGCATTTGACCATCATCACCTGCAACAGTTGTCTTGTTTTGGAAGTCTTTCACTGACTTTGGACCTTTCTTAGATGGAGGACTCGATTCAGCTTCGCCTGAATTAGCTTCCTCATTTTCTTCTTGCGCGGAATGATCTGAGTCTAACGATTTTTTCTGCCTCTGAACATCACTGCCGTCCTTGGTGTCTTTCTCATCCTGTTTCCCATCGGTCTGATCCTGCACACCACCTGCATCGTTCTCAGCAGGAGGTAGTGCACTCGCAGGCTCCTCCTCATTGTCGGAAGCCCACATTTCCTTGAACACTTCATCGGATGCTCCGTTTGCACCGTCCCCCATTCGGTTCTCCAAGTCTTGTGTATCCTCTGCAGAACTTAGCTCATCCTCCTGCTCATCGATCCCTAGCGGCTGGTCGTCTCCGAATTCACCGCGAAAGTTGTCATCGGGCATCTCTATACCTTCAGATTCGTCTTCCGCGGCTCCATGGTCGTCTGCTTGGTTGGTTTTCTGAGTTTCATCCATTAAACCTTCGATTTGCTCTTGACATTCAAGTTCCTTGCTGACGTCCTTGGCACCAGTCGTATCGACACCTTCGGCTGTTAGACTCGTACCACCGCCGGAACCCTCCTGCTCCCGGGAATCCAAAGCCTGGTTATCACAGCTCATACCGCCATTGGCTTCATCTGACATGGATCGGTCTAAACCAGCTGGACGGCAAAAACCATCCACAAGAAGACGCCCTGTGATACGAAGAACACGTTCGCCCAGTCTAGTCCACTCATCCAGAAGCTGCCAGAACTGCGTTGCGCGAAGTTCAACAGCTTTGGATAAAGCATCAACTAGCGGGAAAACTGCTCGAGTGAGACGCACACCTGAGGTCAAAACGTCACCCTGGCTCTGTTCCAACTTAACACGGCATCGGGTCAACAACTTGTTCACTTGGGCCAAGATCAAATCTGACGCAGAAACCGACATCTCATCGGAAAAGTGCAAAAGTAGGTCAATCTGTCCCATATCCTCGGAATATCGATCTGCATGATATAAGGTCCCCAATGTACGAAGTATACTTTGAATGAGATTGTCAGTTAGGACACAAAGCGCACTGTCGCACTCTTCTTTCGAAATTTCATCACAACGCAGTGCACGTAGTGCGTTCTGAGTGACGATTGTGGAAAGGAACTGATATTCAAAACGCAAACGATCGGTTGTTCGTGCAAGACTCGATTCCACATTGTTATGAAAGCCATTTTGGCGACAGTCTGACACAATGGCATCACTTATCGAGAGGAAGGATTCCAAAGCAGTTGACAGGCACACATAGATTTGACAGGACGAATGGGTGAGCAGGAAAGTGGGTGAAGCCGATATGAGATTGACATTCTCAGAAATCGCCTCAACTGCTGCGGTTAATCGATCAAGATAGTTGGCGCAAATGTGACGGCAGAAATCCGCAAATACCTTGATTGAGGGAAGGGCAACAGGTGCAACCAAATTCTCCCAGAGGTCCGAGCCGAAAATACACTTCAAATCATCTGTAGTCACAGGGGTTGTGGACTGGAGTTGATGACACACACCCCAAAAAAGGGTGCACTGTTGCAGAGCATCGCGAGCCAACTGACCCACAGTTTTAACGGAGGTCTGTAAAAGATCAACGAGTTAGTTGGGGAGGAGCGAAAACAATTGATGACTAGTGTGAAAAAGCGTGACCCTGTACAATGGGACAATATATTCATAATTATGAAGTTAGAGCGCTCAGTAAACTAAGGAAAACGAAACGTTCCTGGTTAATCTCTTCTGTGGCACACACACTTGAATATATATATATATCGCCACTCAAGCACGGTCACGAGCCAATGTCTCTCCAGCTGAACGTCATATCTCTCTGCCGTAAGAACCACCACATTGAACCTTTGACAATTGATGAGAAAAGATTCCCAAAAGCTGGCCACAGATAATAACTTGCTCAAACAGAATCTTCAACTTCTCGATCAACCTCAGAATCAAATAATGCTTAGAGTGCAATCAGTCAAATCAATCCCGAGTAGACGCAAAACGTGGTTGTAGTATCCTTCCGATACACTTGTAAGATGATTGAGTATCTGAAAACTGTTCTCTTCTTTTCTAATTTCAACCATTTGGTGTGAGATTGGAAAAAAGCCCTGTTTCAGACCGTACCCTTTGTGTTGAAACCATACGCGGAAACATAGTGTTTATATTTGACGCTGCCGTAGTCACAGTAGCAAGACAACTAATGGGTATTCACAGCTATCGATTTTGGGGGCCCAGCTCGGAGCTGCATTTCAGAAAAAATCTCGTCGAACTTACTCGGATCCTACGTAGTTGTATGTGATCAGAACCAAGAGGCACATATATTACATCATCCTTTGCCACATCCGAGGAACAACTATCTGCTTTCCCGTCGAAGGTAGATCGAAAAGCGTCTGATTGGACAAACAGCTGGTTTGCAGCTTCGGTCAGCTGGCTGCAGCTCCGAATGGCAGCGACACAGTTGTTCAACAAATCATCGGCCAGGCCAGTTAGCCGAGCCAGGTTAGTGGGTCCACCAAGTTCTGTAACGATCTCAGAAACGGTTTCCGGGGTGGCACCGGGTGGGCCTGGGGTACGCGGTAAGCCACCACGCAGAGCTACCAGACAAGCTAGGCGTCTGCACACAATGGTAGGCAAGGTGTACTCTTTGCTGCCTCTGTCGAAAATGTAGGGGAAAAGGAAGAGATTGGCAGAGCAACATATTCAAGCGAGGACTTGGAGAACTCATTCGAGAAAAAAGTCATTCAAAACTGCAGTGTGAACTTACATTCGGTACAGATCAGTTCCCTCGTGCGAGTGCACGTATCTCCACGGATCGCCGCTAAGTTGTGAAAGGAATGACGTCATCGATCCAGTATGTGAGTAGCGCTGTCCACGTAAGTAGGATAAGCCCAGCTGCGGCAAAGAAGTGTTGTCGTCATCATATGAATTCAGGTCAACATCAGGACCCGGCAGCTCAGTATCCACAGCGTCACTAGATGTATCACAGTCGAGATCTGAACACGAATGAGGTGCGTTTTCTCCACTTACACAACACAAAAAGAGGATAAATAAACAGAATGAGTTGAAGACAGGACAAATGCCATCCAGACGGTAAAAAACTGAGAAATGCTCGCAAGTGATTCGGTCTTCGTCAGAATTTTGCTTTCTTTGGTAGTGTTCCCGCAAAAGGAAAATATCTACGATTCTGCTCATTAAACACTCAGATATGGTTCTTGAAGTGCAGAATTTTGAGTTCTTGAAATTTCCCTCAGTTTTATTTATCCGCAATTCATGTTTAGGTATTGAAAGTTTCAGACGCCGTCATCTTACCTTGAACAAACACAAAACGACAAACCTCACTTGTGATAAAGACCAAAGTAAAACAGCGTATTTTGAAATGACAATCTACAACAGACTGCGGATAATTTCACTAAGTTAACATGAAGAATGTCTGATCACAAGCCATTGCATGAGTCATGGAGAATATTTAGCTCTATTCTGTAGCCCCGCGGCAAACACTGAGTCCACATTCAAACTGGTAGGAGATGGAAAAAAGCAGTGAATCGATCATACGAGATACAGTTCCGGAATCATTTTGCAGTGCACAACCTTCCTTGCAATTCTGCAATTATTCCACTGACGAATGAATGTTGAAATAGCAGTCCAACCGAAAATCAGACCAAAGAAAGCCTGCTAAAGTGTGACTGTAATGACTTGATGCAGTGGCGTTGGCGGGGAAACACCGTACTTTTCACTTGAAAGAGCGCACACGACTTACTGACGGTGAATAACTACAATATATTGTCGTTTAATTCCTGCATACCATCAGATTAGTAAACGACTTGGCTTTTCATAGCCTTGCATGATGTTCGCGTCGTTTCGAGCAACACCCCTGCACTTATAAAAGACGAGTATCGTAGTTGGTTGTTGGCCAACTCAGGTAACTCTTTCCCCATTGCCTGCGCATGACAAATACACTGAAAGGGCTGAATAGAGGTGANGTAACTCGTTCCCCATTGCCTGCGCATGACAAATACACTGAAAGGGCTGAATAGAGGTGAAAAAGGAATTCCGTGGGAGCCTGTTTGCTGCGAATTTTCGTTGAAGATGGCCGAAGAAAAACCCACTTAATCCTCGCATTGACACTAGATACCTCTCCATATTATTAAGTTTTCGAGAGAAAATACCAGGGCTATCCGCCAGTCGATTACGAAATTAGTCATAGGGTCAATTGGCAACACTTGGATGAGTCAGTCACCCTGAGCAATCTCCGTCCGGTCAGTCCCTCCTCTCGGGGAAAAAAACAAATAGGTCTGTGGCAAAATGTAGCCTACGTACGGGTTGGCTCTGTGAGGGTTGCCTGCAACCTTGAACCATTGGGAAAGAGCCCAGCGTTTGCGCTGTTGTAGCGTTGTGAACTGCTGATTCCAACGTCGAGCCTGTTCCAGTTCTTCCGTATTATCGGACCCGGTTACCTTCCGTTTGCCAGTAGACTTTGCAGCATGGAGTTGACGGAGTAGATGGGCCGGAGGACAGGTTGACTCCAGCTGCCGAGTGCACGTTTCTAGATCAGTCAGCAGGGCTGCCCAGGCTTCGGTTCCTGTCTGAAGTTGCTGAATCCAGTGGGTGACTGGAGAACCAGATGCCATCCGTCTCAGATGGACATGGAACTTTGGCACGAGCGTTGGAAGTCGCCTAAAAGGAACAAGTTGAATCACCGTAGGAATTCGTGTATAGTGGTGGGGGGTAAAGCTAATTAGGGGTGGAATGGAACAAACCCGAAGTGGCTACCAAACTGTGGATTCATGGTACGCTGAGTGCATATCCACTGGAAGTCTTGAGGTGAGAGCCAGTAGTTCTTCGCGTCTGACGCACTTGGAAGTGAAGAGACCGGCATGTCCGGACAGTCCGCGTTGGGTGGACGTTCGAATCGTGGAACAGATATCGCAGTCTCGAAAAGCGGACGAACTGGACGGCGAAGGATTGTTTCCCAGTTCCGAACCTGCACAGTACACAAGAAAAAGAGGTCACCGAGATGAAGCGCAAGCGGCCATGAGAAAAATGTACAGGAACAAACCAATGAATTAAGTCGACCCGGAACAAAATGCAAGGACCGAGAAAGCAAATGAACAGTCCGAAAAAGCATGCGGACACAGGATACTCTATTGGAGTATTCTGTATTGTATTCTGGTTTGTTCTAAAAAAATACATTACGCAACTATGGAACCTTGCAAAAAAATCACCTACAAGTCCGTTGGTGGCACGCCATGAGAACACACCAAGACGGTAATCAAAGGCTATGGGAAAGACAACCTCTGGATCAATCAGGTCCGGTTACAAGTGATCGTAATGTCAGAATTGTACTCGTACAGTAAGAATTCTAGATCAGGCGGCCGCGCCATGACTTCTATTTTACCTCGGGCTGCTGATATTTAACCAGCCTAGCTATTACCAGGCATCTGGGAGTTGAACATTCGCTGGGGCCTGAGTTCGAAAGAGTATACCTGGATCCGTATTCAAGAGCTCTTCCATCCTCGTCCCCTCTACAATGTCCCTTGGGTATCCGGGGCCTACCAACGTCTGACCCATTGGGGAAGTCACATGAAGGGTCCAGTATTGACGATGAGGGACACCAACAACAATGACGATTACATATGACATTTAGGTGCGCACGTGAGACAGGGAGCAGCATATACAGTGGCGGAGCTCGTATAGTTTTCGGTCAGCGTATGACAGGTTCCGAGTTCGCTTACTTGTACTTGGGTACATATCAGCAGGTGTGTCTTGATTAAACTCAAGTACTGATGCACATGTAAGGTTCCTCGAAAAAAACAGCGTTTGTATGCATCAGAGGAAATGAACTCACCTGCTTGTGAATGGTCCTCTTGCATCGGTCCACGTTGGATTTAACTGACCAGAAGCATGCATAATCGCCCCATTTGGTAATGTGTACAACTCCCTGTGATGGGTAAGGAAAGATGGACAGGCAGTTATTTCGTGAATCCACATGGTTGGGAGGGCCTCATACTCACAGCTAACATTCACAGTGAGGACTCTGCTCGCGTGTATCACACTGAGTCGATTTTAGAGGCAGCGTGCATGATAGTGAGCTCTATTTATCAGCACTCTCATTTTCCAATCAATCTGGTTTTCACGAGAGACTCAGCTTCCCAAAAAACAGTCCTATTTGGGTTCAAGTAGAAAGAAAGAAAGTGTTCAGCTGTAGCACCCTTCCGGTGCCTAGCTGCCATGCCACCCGAAGGAAGCACGAGGTGTGGGATACTGCGAGGTTGCCCAAGCCCGGACAGGGGAAGTCGAGAGGCGGAGGTCGGATTCGAACCACGGACCTTCCGGTCAGTAAATTCGCGCTCTAACCACTTAGGTTCAAGTAGAACATAAGGTTGACGGAAACTCTGGGACTGCGCCTACCTGATGAGCCCCAAGAAGGGCGAAACCGGTCGTGAGCTGTCGAAGAGTTTTCAGCAACCTTGTGAGTAGCTTGCTTTATGAAAATAGTAAAACTCCCTTCTCTCGTAACTAGTCTGCTGAATAAGTATGAGCTCGCGTTCTCAGGTGAGAAGAGTTCACATACAAACAGTTCCTTTGAAAAGTTCAGTTCTATTAGTACAATCGAAAGAGGAAATAATAGATGAAACCTGGCGATGGTCAGGGAACAACTTTTGAATGGTTACTAGGCACGTACCCGTAAGTCTTTTTCAATTGGCTTTCGTAGACACTTGATTTCATTCTGCACGGCAGGGAGAAACTGTCCGTAGAACCAGGCCACATTGCCAACAATCCGTTTGTTTGTCTCGCGATCTGCTCAAGAGATGGAAGGATGGTGGAAAGAGGCAAAGTAATTAGCATATTGACAGGTTTGTCCACTAACACACAGCAAAATCAAAACGGTAGCTTTGTCCCGGTTTGTGAGTAGGGACAAGTGTAGAGTGATTTTGTTTCACCTGCTTCTAGCGAAGGTAGTATGGGGCGCTGCGTGTTTGGAAAGATGGGGTTCGCAGTAAGAGAGAACCTGGGACATCGAAAAGCATTTTAGAAACGTGGCCTCAGAAAGTAAAAAGCCTTACAGTAATAAGGAAGTGGCCCAAAAAATATTCGAACCTACTTGGTTCTTACGCGTCACACAACGGACATATATAGAAAGGATGCCGCGGCGCCTATTTGAATGTCGACACGCTGGAGTATGTCGCAGGTGTATGACCGAAGCTGAAGGGTAACTGCCGACTACAGGAAACTGGTCACCTAAAGATGATTTAGTGTGAGAAATAGTTTAGGGATAATAAGATATTGCACATGAACTGCTCTGAGATGTACCTAACAGCAGGCACGGGGATGCAGAAGTCATCAAATAGTTATTCGAAGGTTTCCGATGCAAAAGAGTATCCGGTAAAAGCTATGCTGAGAACAACGAGGACATTGCATCGTTTGAGTGGGGAGTTATAATCGCGCAACGTGCGAGACTAGTACGGACACATGTAAACGATTAGGAAAACAAACCGATATTTACCCTGGGTTGGAAGGCCAGGCCAGATGTCCAATGCGGTCCGGAGAGCAGCAAGCAGACGCCAGCGCATCGGGAATTCTCCCAAAGGACCATTTTCCATTAATTCGACCAAAACTTCACATCGATCCGATTCCGACTGGGTGTTCCCCACAGTGGAATCAGAGGTAGCGTGTCCTGGTGGTCTCAAAAAAACGTCATGGAGATGGAACCACAAGGTTGCCGCACGACTCGAGAACGCGGATGTCGCGGTGTCCAGAGTGGAAAGCCAGCATCTGTCAGACAGCGAAAATTATGCAAAAAAATTCTGGATTGCTGACTACGTTGAGCACTGCTCACTTCTGGATACGAAAACTCTCAATAGACAACGAGTTCCAAGTACGCAAGTTCGCGACAGTGGGCAAAACTAGGGTCGATGTGTTGTGAATTTGCTAAAAAAATATTTTACGAGATAAACAGGGATCTAACTAGTTCAGTTTAACGTATGTGAACGTGTTCGAACGTACTGCGGTTCGGGTCACTAAGCTAGGTGACAGCGGATAGTTCAACAGAAAGGACAAACGCGGTAAGCATGAAAATAACAGATAAGCACACAGAAAATAGATCACCGAGATCCCGACCAAACTAATCCACAACCGAATGGTTTATGGTGTTCACAATTAGGGGACACCACCTGAGGCACTGGATAAGAGAACTGATTGAGTGCTGCTATACGGACCTAATCGGTTGAAACCTACAAAGCTGAAGTTCGCAGAAAGTTAGTTAACTGACATCAGTCTCAGTTGACTATGCATCGCATGTCGATACTATGGGTAGGCTAAGCAAAATATCGCAGACGCGACACAAGAGGCGCGGGAATCGCAACAACAGAACCCCGTCGGAGAAAGGGTACTACTTGTTTTCCAGACTGGATGGTTGTGTCTGGAAGAGTAGGAGAACTGTTCCCCAATATTACTACGCTTGACTGATGAGAATTAATGACTGAAGGTGGACATTGACTAGGGTATACTAGACTGACTCGGGGACCTTCCTGAGGCGATTTCGGTGCAGTTCGCGGCGCCCAGTAAGATTCTGGAATTGTTTTTAGGAATATGACTTTCCTTACGGAAAAGTCTCGTTGAAGAGGTCAGCAAAAATGGACTTCAATTATTGGAAACCCGAGAACTGGTACTACATCACCCCATGTTTCATCCAGCCCTTCAAAGCGTGACTCAGATGCGAGCCTGCGTGCAACGATTGAACAAACGATGCTACGGAGAAACTCTAGCTAAACAAGAGACCACGCCAAAGAGGGCCAAGCTGGTGTACTTGGATTAATGTGTTATCAGTGCTAGGGTAACTATGCGTTTAGCGAGGCAAAATTTTCCTCGTTCATCCTAAGAGATAAAACATCAGGAGCTGTTATCAGATGGCAATCGAAGGGTCATTCTTTCGAGGGATATGTTCCTTCTCGGGAGGTGGGGTAGTACTTCATTTCATTTGTGCAAGTCAGAAAATCCTGAAATGAGCCCCAATTGGCCTTAGCTAAGCTGTTGGCCCGTACAAGCGACCTGTGACCGCTTCAAGCGGTCACAGTTGCGCTTTTGGCACGTGGATAGGATATTTGCCAAAATGAAGCAACCCACTTCAGTTCCATTTTGCGCCACTCGATTAGAAGTTCACAAACTTCTTTGATCTGGTCCATTAAAGACACGTGTCTGGATGCATTCTTCTCCCATGGGGTGGTACTTCATTTCATTTGTGCAAGTTAGAAAATCCTGAAATGGGCCCGAATTGGCCTAGCTAAGCTGTTGGCCCGTACAAGTGACCTCAGTGGTTTTAAGAAACAATGAAAAAACAGTGCTTCATGCGGTCACAGTTGCGCATTTGGCACGTGGATAGGATACGGATAAAGAAAGTTGCGAAAATGAAGCAACCCACTTCAGTTCCATTTTGCGCCACTCGATTAGAAGTTCACAAACTTCTTTGATCTGGTCCATTAAAGACACGTGTCTGGATGCATTCTTCTCCCATTCCTGAAAAGGAGATGAAGATAACAAGTTAAATGAAAAGTTTGAAGGCAGAGTCCCAAACCTAAGTCCGAGTCGACGAAGCATAACGGCGAATCCTAGACAGAATTGGTCAAAACATTATTGTTAGTTTAGCCCATCGTATCATTAACGGATGCGTGAAGTCGATTAGGACAAATTACAGATCTGTCTGGCGATGAAATCACTTAGTTTAACTAACAGAGCCGGCTGGGCTGACACATCAACAGAGACAGTCAGTATTCTAAATGTTCAGCTGTCACAAATGAGGAACCAAAATTTAAGAAAGAAAGTGAGACCCGAGCTTGTCTAACTACGATAATCAGAGGGGGGAATCAAGGTAACATCGTTTGAATGCGATCAGTACAGCGCTCCGTGAAGTTCGGATGATAACGCTGAATGATCTTTCCGTGCCCAGCTTTTTCGCGCAGTAACACAAAAAATAGGATGGATCTTA